TTCAGAAGAGAGTCCGCGAGGCCTTCGGCAGCACTGTTGGCAGACTGCGCCCCTCGCGGGGGGAGGCCAAGCGTGTGCACAGCCAGCTCCGCAAGAAGCGTAAGCAGGATGGGGAAAAAGGGCGGCCGGGCAGGAGGTGCGCCTACAGGAGAGGCGGGGGGAGGGGTTGGCTCGGACACCAAGCCTGGCCAGGCCCCAGAGAGTCAGGTCCCTGCGGCCCCTGGGAGTGCTCGTGCTCCCGGTGACGACTCTTCTGGCTCCGCTGGCTCGGGGGCCGCTGCGCCAGGGACCTCGGGGCCAGGCGACGACCCTCCAGGGAACTCGGGATCTTCTGCGGCACTCCCAGGTGACCGAGCCGCGGGTTTAGCCAGGAGGACGAGAAGCGGGCTCCCCTCCGCACTCTCTACGTGCGTAACGTGACAGATTGGAGACCCGATGCCCGAAGGTTGATCGAGTCGCCCCCTGTCAATGCAGACGTGATTGGCCTGCTCGAGCATCGTGCCGCAGGTCAGTGGTCCATTGGTTCGATGACGTGCTGTGCGACTTCGACGTTATCGCTTGGCAGGCGACGGGCAGTCCAGCACGCAAATACCAGAAGGTTGAGAACGCAGGCGGGGCCGCGGTGGCGGCGCGGAGGCATTTTCAGTCGACCGCCCTCGGACACCTCGCCGTGTACCAGGGCCAGACGCGTGGCCAGCTGCGCCGCAGGAAGGAAGTGGAGGCCTTTCGTGCATGACCCGCTGATTTCTACGACTTCGATGCGCTCACGATGGCGGTACCCGCAGCTATCTTACGGTGGTGGCGGTCTATCTCACGATCTCCACCCGCGTTAAGAGTGTCGATGCCACTGAGCTGCAGCACCTGGGGAGCGTGCTGCAGGCGGTTCGGGAGATCGGAGGATCGCGCTCGGGGATTGGAGCGCCGCGCCATGGCGCTGAAAGACACTGGGTGGACGGACCACCGTCGAGGGCAGCTGATTCGGCCAGGCAACACTTGCTTCGCGCAGTTCGGCGGAGGGCGGTTGCTGGACTACGCGGTGGTGGGATGCCAAGGGCTCCCTTTTCGAGGGCACCTTGGTGGAGCAGCGGTCGCGCATGGGGCTCGTGGCCCAGTTTGATGCACTGCCATCCAGCGCCCGATCAAGAATTTGGCCAGCGCCATCCAAGTTCTTCCATATCCCACCTCCGCCACCGCAGAAGGACCCTGACAGCAAGATGGGCTGCTCTGTTTGGAAAAAGGCGGGGAGATCGGGTCGGCGCCAGCGGTCAGATCCCCCCCGGCAGTGTCCATGCAACCCTCCTTGGATGGAGCTGCCAGGTGCACTTTCCCGCTCCCTGGCTGTGCGCCCCCGCGCCCGTCGAGGTCTGCGTTGACTGGTTTGCAGACGGAGTTCGCCTGGGAGGAGGGCGCGGCCGTGGGCCTGTAGGCGATGAGGAGGACGATGCGCTGAGGTTTTTGGGGGTGCTGGAGGAGTCTGATGTCCCAGGGCGTTCGGCAAGGCATATGTCCAACGTGGTTGGTGCGACGCTTTGTTCGAGGGGCCGACTGACCCCGACCCAGACGCCTTCGGGCCAAACAGGAGTTTGGGCGGCGCCTTCGGGGAGCTCCTGGAAGCGCAGCTGACCGCCTACAAGGTGTGGCCCCGCGCGTCCGAGGACCGCGCCAGGTTTGGGGAAATCTCCGAGCTCTGGAGACAGGCCAACGACATGGTCGATCGCCGGGCCGAGGCCGCCTCTCCAGAGTTTCAGATGCCCCAAGCCGAAGTTGTCAGGGCTCGCGGGGCGGAGTGCCCTGCGAGTGGGGTCCGAAAGGGGCAAGGGACGGTGCTCGAGGAGTGTGCTCGTTTTGGCCCTCGGGGCCCTGGCAGAGTTGCGCGCGCACCGCCCAGCAGAAGTTTGTCCGAGCCATTGGCTTTGACCGTTTGGTTGCCAGGACTGCGCGCGATGTTGTGCGGCCGAAAGGTCGGGGGGGAAGGTGAGAGGATGAGGAGTGAGGTCAGAAGAAGCGAGGTGGAAAACTCGAGGTGGCTGACGAGGGTTGAGGGCGGTGGAGGGAGAAGGAACGAGGGTCGCCGTCGTCGCCGTTAGCGGCGTCGGCTTCGGCGTGGGCGTCGTCGGCGTTGGCCTGCGCAGGCGCTGTTCAAGGGCTTCAACAGCCAGTGGTTGCGCATCGGCCCGCACACGACCAGCCTCTCCGCGGTCGCCCCCGGGGCCCCTGCGAGCCGCTCGAGGGCACGCAGGGGCCGGGTTTACCTCCAGGAGGAGTGGTGGGGGCTTACGGCCAGGAGCAGGGGAGAGGGAGATCGGGAGACGAGCAGGGGGCAGGAGCAGGGGCCAGGGGGTGGAGGATTTAGTGGGGTGTGTGTGATGACTTGGGGAGGGATGGGCAGGGGCGTTGACTTGGGGTGAGGAGGATGAGGGAGCGGGAGGAGGAGCGATGAGGAGGAAGGGGAGGAGAAGGCAGAGGGGGATGGGGGATGATGATGGGAAGGGCGAGGGCG